GATGGTCTCGATCTCTTGACCTCGTGATCCACCCGCCTCGGCCTCCCAAAGTGCTGGGATTACAGGCGTGAGCCACCGCGCCCGGCATTAATTTTATTCTTGTTCTTAATTTAGCAGACAGGCTGAGGTTGCTAAAGGCAAGACCACACCTCCCACAAATCAATAGCTGCATTAATAGAAGATTCAGAACTTACTGTTCTGTACCTAACTCTCTCAAGTCAAACCTCTGCAGACAAGAACCCTCCACTACCAAAGATAGAGGCTGTGATGTCAAGAAAAAGCTCAGGCTTGGCAGTGGTAAGTAATAGACAATGACCCCAGTTTGGCCATAAACCAACCATGCAGCTTTGGGCATGCCTCTCACCTTTATGTCTTCCATGATGAATATGATGTTATTGCCCATCTCTCAGCAATACTTAACTACTCATTCATCAAGACCTGACTTACACATTGTGTTCCATACAAAGCCTTCCATCCCATCCCCCAGATGTTGTAGTATAATCTTCACCTGTTTTTCTATGGTGCACTGGAATGCTTCTATGACAATTACATTTTAATTAATGAGCATACACTCTTCTACAGCACGTTTCTATTACCAATTCCCTGATTATTTCTAGCATGTAACAGTGCTCAAGGAATGTTTTTTCAGAAGGCAGAAAATGGACCAGGCATGGCTCATGCCTGTAATCCCAGCACTTTGGGAGGCCGAGGCAGGTGGATCACCTAAGGTCAGGAGTTCGAGACCAGCCTGGCCAACATGGTGAAACCCCATCTCTACTAAAAAAAATACAAAAATTAACCAGGCATATTGGCGCATACCTGTAATCCCAGCTACTTGGGAGGCTGAGGCAGGAGAATCACTTGAACCTGGAAGGCAGAGGTTGCAGTGAGCCAAGATCACGCCACTGCACTCCAGCCTGGGTGACAGAGCGAGACTCCATCTCAAAAGAAACAAAAACAAACAAAACAAAAAAAAAAAAACGTACTGTCCATCGCAAAGATATTA